AAGGGAAGCAATAAAGTAATGTGTTGTTGGTAGGGGGTATTGCTTTATCGGGCACATTTAAAGTAATCATTTGATTTTGTCACTATCCTCACTGTTGCTGTATCTATTTGGTTATCCTTTTGAGTTTGCTTTCTAGTTCTCTGGACTATGGCTAATTTACTACAAGAGCTCACCAGAAGCAAAAGTCCAATAATTACTCTGCATGTCTGTTCACTTATGTACATACTATGTCAAAGAAAAATATAGAATATGATCTGCCATTTAGCCATGTATGGAAATGGCTCCCCTACAGTGAGAAATTCTTTCAAATCTGAGAATAAGTCATAAATATTTGGCCCAAACTACTGAAAGTCCAATAAATGAACTAATCTGATCCAGTGTCCTGGATCTTTTTCTAGCAAGCAAAAGCCACTGGCATGTTTCCCACTGCAGACTTAGAATTTTGGGAACCGGGAAAATAGGATTCGCCTGTGTCTTATGCACAGGAAAACAGATTCATGAAGTCAGGTGCAGAGGCTGCCATGAACACCACTCCCTTTTGCCATTTTCTGGATATCAGCAGTTGTCTAAAGAGGTCTTCTAAGAAAAGTCACATCAGTGTCCTTGTTCTAGCCATGAGTACACTTTGCCCTCTTGCTTGGGAGCTTGCAAGGGTCACTGGTAATGAAGAGTCCATGAGGCTGCTCAGGGCTCTGTTGTTGGCTTGGGGTTGGATATAAACTGGAGTCATTATCCGAGGCAAGGTCACACCCTTTGGGGCTGATACTTGTGGGGGTTTTAGACAAATACAAAATAACCCTCATCACCTGAGAGAGGTGACACCAGGCACAGACAGTGAGGGAGGGTAGTTTCCAGAGCTGGTTCTGCCATTTACTAATTGATCAACTGCGGCACATCTCTTTCTCTGAGTATGAATTTCTTCTAATAGAAAGTGTTGAGAGGGTCATCTGGCCTGCTTTCCTCAGCCAATTATTGTGAGGATGAACTAAGCTGGATTAATATGTGAAATGTCCCATATGATGGCAAATGCTATGTAGACGTGAACCGCCATGATCAGTAAGGGAGGACAATTGCTGCTTGGATGCACAGTGTCCCCCAGACTCTATAGAGGTCTAATTCCAGAAGGAGAAGTTACTCTTTTCCCTCTGTATGCCTTTTATTTTGAAGCCCCAGCTCTAAGTGGATTCTTGGATACTGATGGGATGCTTTATGCTACTGGGTGGTGATTTCCCTTGGCTAGGAGCCAAGTGACTTCTGTGTTTGAGTGATGTGCTGAGCCCCCTCAGCTCAGGATTTGGGTAGAGTCTTTTGCTTCAAAAGGAGCCCACAGAACTTAGGGGCCATACAATGGAGGGAATGGGGCCCAAAGCTGACCCCAGCCACTCCTTTATTTGCAGGTGTCAACCGAGAGAGCTTTGTGATGGAGTGGATACATGTTTGGTCAGGGTTGGGCCGTTGGCAAAGCATACAAAGTTTACCTTTGGTCCCCTTTCACTTTCCCTTTGGAGTTTTGCTCCTTCTACTCTTCTCTATCCCTCCCTACATCACTGGTGATTTTAGGCTTCCTCTCCAGAATCCCCTCTCCAGAATTCCCCTTCAGGCTAGAGGAGTGCTGCCTAATGGAACTTTCTATGAAGATGAAAATGTTCTCTATCTGCTCTGTCTAGTATGGTAGCCACCAGCCACATGTGAACATTTGAAATGTGGCCAATGTGACTGAGGAACTGGATTTTAAAAGTTATTTATTTTCAGTGAATTTACATGTAAATTACCACATGGGGCTAATGGTTAGTGTATTGGACAGTGCGAGTCTGGAGTTCGAGACCTCCATCATTTCCATCTCTCTGCAGCAATCAAATGAACTTGTCCTGTGTCCGAATTCCAAGTCCCTCATCTCAAAGAAGTATCAAAAAGCTAATCTGATGAACAGATTCTTATCCGTAAATTAAGGTCTTACCCCTCTAGGTCAGTGCATAGGTTTTGAGCTATGCCATACTTCAGTCGAAGCAGAGGCTCAGATGATAGGAATCTGAAGGACTCCGGCAGGCAAATATGGCAGGTGAAAACATTATAGGCATAGAGCTTTAGACACACTTCAAAGCAAACTCTGTGGATGTCCCCCTCCCCCTACCCCCAGAAGCATGCTCTGGGCTGCTTCTAAGCTTCTCTTGGCTTCTTGCAATCTGGAAAAAGTTAAAGTCAGAGTTTTGCAGATGAGAGCTTGGGAAAAGCCTGGAGGTAGGAGAGTTGGAATAGGCAGGGCCCAGAGATGCCAAGCTCTTAGAAAAGAACCTGGCATGCCAGTCAGGGTGGTACTCTGGGCCACCCTCGGGAGGAGGTGCCAGGGAGAGATTGTTAGAGAGATCTCATTGAGACAAGACTGAAGGGCTAACAGTTATGTCAAAGAGACTAGACACCAGGTTAAAGGTCACAAGATGGACTGTGGCATTTTTGGTGGTGTCTTGGTCAGGAATTGCAATTCTAGGCTTAATTTTGATTTTCTGGGAATCCCTGGGTGGCTCGGCGGTTTAGCACCTGCCTTCAGCCCAGGGCGTGATCCTGGAGTCCCGGGATGGAGTCCTACATCAGGCTACCTGCATGGAGCCTGCTTCTCCCTCTGCCTGTGTCTCTGCCTCTCTCTTATGAATAAATAAAATCTTTAAAAAAATTTTTTTTATTTTCTCTTTTAGGGAGATTTTTCGCCCTTCTCCCCCCAATTCCTTTATGAACATTGCTTTCTGGTTGTTCTTTTCACCCTGAAACTGAGCTGCATTTGTTTCTTTTGGATGACCATGTAAGTGTTCTTGAATTCTTGCCCTTGTTTTCACAGATACTCATGGGCATCAGAGGCAGCCTTTCAAACCAAACACTAGGTTGAGTAAAGGGTGGAGGATGATGGAAGGTGGGTGCATGGAGGGTATCAACCACAGGAAAAAGAGGCAGGAAGAGCAGTTACCAATCCCAGCACTTCGGAATTTACTCTGAGGGCCTTGGATCACCAACTGTTAGCATAGGTAGATCTGCTCCTACAACCTCACTTGCTCTGCACTCTCCGAGGAATGGAAAAAAAAGTTCCAGTCAAACCACTGACAAGAATGGGTGCCTATTTACTTAAAAATATCAAACTTTATGAAGTAATTAGAGACTGAGTCCCAAATCCTTAGTACAATGTGGTCCAGAAGATTAAAAAAAAAGAAACAAAACAGCAGCCAAATATCCCCTTGGTGTTTTTGCAACACAGTTCAGACTACACAGCCTGACCGCAGTGCTTTTCTGGACCTCTTTGTCCTCACGAATGGAAGGAATACCCACAGTGTTCAGTGCTACCCTGCTCTTCTTGGCATTCCATTCAAACAAATGCTCTGAGGCACTTGGCATCAAGGGCCAGAAACCCAGAGGTGCTGGTTGTCTGGCTAGGTTGATTCACCAGATGCAATGTTACCAAATACTCCTGGGTGGAATATATTATGCCACAGGGGCCTGTTGTGCCAGAGCATTTGACAACTTATGGCAGTCCTTCTGCAAGTCCTTGCTAACTTTACTCTGAATACGATACATTTCAGTCCATTTGCATGAAAAGCAGAAGTTCTTGCTGGGCTGAAGTAACTTAGAACGGTGGTTGTCCATGGGGATGATTGTGCTTCCACCCCAACCCAGGGGATGTTTGGGAATGTCTGGAAACATTATTTTATTATCACTACTAGAGGGAAATTTTGTCTTTCCTGGGACCTGAGGCAAGGTCCGGGGACATTGCTGATTGTTATAAGCAGGGTGAGGTGCTGTCCTACTGGCATGAGTGGGTAGAGATTAGGGATGCTGCTAAGATCTCAGGGATGAGCAGAACAGCCTCAGTGACAAAGAATTATCTGGCCCAGAATGTCAACAAGGCTCAAGCTGAGGAACTCTGGGCCACAGGGAAAGCTCAGGCTTGGTTCTTAATGCTGAAGTGCCCTATGATCCTCCAATGGCTACCATCTTTTCAGTTTTGGAAGACCAGTACATATCCTGGGTGGCTGCAGGAAATCCTAGGATAATATCGACCACAATTTTCTTCAACCAATGACCCAGTCAGTTCATATCTTCAAGAGTCCTTAACTTCTTCTAAAAGACAGAGTGCAGGGTTACACAGTCATGTTGGTCTCAGTGGGTCTAGATCCCATTATACTGTAGTATATACAGAGGCAAGCCATACGATTTGGTTTCTCCATCTGTAAGGAGGAGTCTTAATACTTCATATGACTGATTTATTTGTCAGCTGGGCCTGGTATCCTAGGAAAATGGAATAGGGGCATGGTATTTGAGTTGGGATGAAGGGGATAAATGTAAGTTAAGTACTTCTACCCAATTCCAATGCCAAAATGACAATAGGGCAATGCCAAAATGGCAATAGGATACTGGAAGTGAGGAGAGCCAACCATTAGTTTGTTTGCCAGCAGATTGTGCCCGGGACTCAGTGGGCCCTGGGGCCAGGAAATGATTTTCCTTGCCAATGGTAGATAGGGAAGATCCAGGGCCTGCCACATAGGAGTCTTTCCATGAGGTCTGTGGGCTAGGAGGGAGGACACAAAGAGCAGTCATGATATTAGAGGGCTGCAGGTGCACAGAAAGCTACAGCAAGAATTTATGTAGCGATTCTTGGGGAAATAGAACAAACACTTCCTGATTTTAAAAGTAACACAGCCATTGTTGAAAATCTCTCAAGTACAGAAAAACATGAGAAGAAAATAAAAATCCCTCATAATCGCACCACTAAGAAACATCAGCTATTAATAGTTTTGGTATTTCCTTTTAGAAAAACAGAAGGTTTTTCTGAGCAGGACTGGCTGGGGAGATTGAAAAGGTCTTTGAGAACAGCAGAAGGAGACAATGCAGACACTGACCAGTTTGGAATGATCTTCTCTGTGAGCCAAGATAGGTGAGACCCCGCTCTTGCCTGGTTGAAGTGGACAACAGGACAGATGAGCGTGTGACAGAGGGACATGTGATCAAGTTCCCCTTACCTTTGGGGTTCATGTGGAAAGCTTCCTTAGTGTTCACCTCCATGAATAGAAGGGCTCTTTAACTGAAAGAGAAGATGACTCATCTTAGTTGAGGGATGACAAAGAGGAGAGTTCATTTCTGATTCACTTTGCAGCACCAGTGTGACTGCAATCACTGTCCTTCAGTGAGGATAGGCATATACGATAGCCCCAGTTTTTTGGAATTAGTTTTCTTGGCAACTTGATTGAGGTAATTTCAAACTTAAAGACAAGTTGCAAAAATCATAAAAAAGAAAATCCCATAAACCCTTCTTTTTTTTAAAAAATATTTTATTTATTCATGAGAGACACACAGAGAGAGGCAGAGACATAGGCAGAGGGAGAAGCAGGCTCCATGCAGGGAGCCCGACGTGGGACTCAATCCTGAGACCCTGGGATCACACCCGGAGCATGAAAGCAGATGCTCAACTGCTCAGCCATCCAGATGCCCTAACCCCATAAACCCTTCCCTCAGATACCCTAATAGTTAATATTTTACCATCTTTAATTTATCATTCTTTCTTCTCCACAGTTATTTTTTCTGAATCACTTGAGAATAAGTTGTAGTCATGATGCCTCTTAACCCCTAGATATTTCAGTGTGTTTTCCTAAAAATAAAGGCATTCCCTTACCTTAACATGGTGGAATGATTAAAATCAGAAAATTAACTTTGATACAGAAAATTAACTTTGATTAAATACTATCTAATCTGTAGATTTTACTCAAATTTTGCCAGTAATCCTAATTGGGATTAGATTTGATGAAATTTGGTCCTAACAGACTTTAGTGAAGCTTATTGACAAATCCCTTTATAGCCATGACTGAATTCGGGCATTAGGCCACTCTCACCTGAAGGTCAAGTTGGATGCTGTCTCATGAGTTCACATGAGCAGAATTTGGTAGAAGAATGGTTTTCCAAGTGTGAATAACTTGGTGATGATAAGCTTGTTCACTGGGCTGCTGGGTATGGGTGTGTGTCAGTTGGGCTGTGCCCATCAGAAATCATGGTTCCCATCTTGGTCCTCCTAATACATATGGCCCTGGATTTTGTATGGGACATTTTAAACTCTGGGATCTGACTGGCCTGAGTCTGTGACGGACAAGGTGACAAGTGTCAGTACTATGGCTCTGAGTTAGAGCAAAGATGATTTCAGGACTTGAATACAAAATTGGTCCATATATGTCTACTTTTTAAAATTTGATATATGGATAGTAATTCCTAATTTAGTGGCCAATTTTGTCATGCACATTCTGTGCTGGAACAATCTAGTTTAGAGTAGCAGACCAAACAATGCCTTTAAGTAAGTTCTATGTTTTCAAAATTCAGAATCCTTAGGAATTCTGTGCTTGAGAAATCAAGTGCTGAATACTCTGTGCTGACTCAACTGATGGAGGAGAAAGTGACAAGCGGGCCACTGAGGATCTCTTTCACTCCCCCGCCCCCCCACAATATCTCAACATTACTGCTACTGGCAAAATGAATGGAAGGCCCAGACATCTTTGCAATAAAAGCCTATGATGTGTTGAGGACTGTTTGAACATGAAGCAGCCAGTCCCAAGGTACTTGATAATGAGGTGTCTGGTAAATCCAGAGCCTGAAACACAAATGTCTGAGGCAGCTTTTTCAAAAGCCACCAATTTCTCTCCATGTGGTACAGTGATGCTATTTTTTTTTCATTTTTTAAGATGCTGAACATTCTAGAATGCATTTTAGATTCTGTGAATAATTTCAGGACTTAAAGCCCTGTCTTTGATAATGTCCTAGCTATGTTCAGAAGAATCTAGTCTCTTTTCATGCTCTTGCAGGAAACCCCAAGGGGTCAGCCGAGGCTATGGAAAGGTGTGAAGGGAGTAGAGCCCAGGACAAGGCCTCCACTGGGGGTAGAGAGTCTGGAATGCCAAGCTGGAGCAGTGATGGCTCTGGGGCAAGGGGCCATAAATGAGATCATGCCCCCGCCACTCATTTCTGCAGTTTGACAAACATTTACTGAACAACAGGCCTTGGGTTCACTTCATCTGTCCATCTGTTTATTCACTCAGCATTTATTAAGCACCTGGCACATACTTTAGCCCTGTCATTCTCTGTCCCAACTTCTGCACCTGCTCTCTGTCCTGCTCTCTGCCTTCTAGGGGTGACTCCTCTTGCCCTTCAACATTAGCTTCAGCTTGGGCTCCACCCACAGAAGGCAGAGGTTGGGAGTAGAGCACCTCAGGGTAATATATCCCTCCCTCCCTGCCTTGCTCGTGGCTTGGTGCTGGCAGTGGTTGTGTGTCTACTACCACAGCTCCATTGGTGCAGCCCTTCTTCCATAGCTCCAGCTCTCACTGGGTCCCAACAAAATCCCTCCCTCCCCATTCCCCTTTATGGAGAAAGGGTGGTGATAAATTCTGTTGTTAGCTCTCAACCTTGCCCCCAGGTATGTCAATGGTCTCTTTATTATAGTGTCTTAAAAATCCTAGCTTGAGTGTATCATCTTCCTATCTGACCCTGACCAATGCAGCTCTTTAATACATGCTGAACTGTTTTCAGATAGCTCTGGACGGGCTGGAGAGATGTAAAGATGTAAAGACATAGTTTCTAACACTAAGCTCCACCAATGCAGGGTGGGGAGGCAGAGATTAACAAAAGCTCCTGGGGGAAAATCATCTCTGAGATGTAGTCTTTTATACATTCTAGTATTATGTGTCAATCAAAGAGCAACCTAATCTCTGGCCACATCATTAGAAGTATGGTGTCCAGGACAAGAGAGGTGATATTGCACCGTTATTCTGCCTCCATTAGCTCCCATCTGCAGTTCTAGGCACAGTTCTGGGCTTCCCACTTTAAGTGGAGACATATTAGCTGTAAATGTTTCAAGGTCTGCCATATAGAGCAGACCAAATTTTTTTCTTTAAGGGCCAAATAATAAATATTTTTGACCTTGTAAGCCATAAGTTCTCTGTTGCAACTAGTCTGCTCTTGTGCAAAAGCAGCCGCAGACAACAGATAAATTAATAGGCTTGGTTGTGTTCCAACAAACTTTATTTACAAAAATAAACGAGGAGCTGCATTTGGCCTGCAGGTCTTACTTAGCTGACTTCTGATATACAGGGAAAAATTTTTTTCTGGGTGTGTCCAGAAGGCAGAAGTTGGATCAATACATAGAAATCATAGATGTTACAGGCAACTGATGAATTATTGAATTACCTGAAACTAACGATGTACTACTACATGTTGGCTAGTTTAAATAAAAAAGGAAAAAAAAGAGATCATGGAAAAGTAGATTTGTGCTAATTTTAAGGCAAACCTTTCTAATGGTGACTATAATTCCCACGTAGAATGAGATGTTTCATGAGGTAGTGAGTGGGTTGCTCATTGTGAGAGTTTAAAAGAAAGGCAAAGTGTTGTAATTTTCTGCAAAGCACAAAAAGTCAGTCAGATGATGTGGGGAGGTGACAGTGCCTCACATTTATATATACTTAGCATAGTACTACCTACATAGTAGGCCTTCTAGATTTTGTGTCCCTAGAGGGAAGAGACTCTGTCACTCTTATCCTTGCACCTTGCCCACTCCTGAAATCCTAGTGTAGTGTTTTAAACATGGTAGGTGTGACAGATTCATGTTTTGTCAACTTGGCTCTGTAAGCAAAATCTTGCTGACAGATAATGAAACTAATTTGTCTTTAGTACAGTCTTCACTACTAGTCATATTAAATTAACTCAGTTATCTCTAATAAGCCTTAACATTTGAGGATTTTCACTGAACAGAATAGATGTAACAGTCAACATTTATTGAGTTCTGAAAATATGCCAGCTATTGCTCTAAGAACTTTAATAGGAATTCTCTTATTTAATCATCCCCCAAACCTATGGGGGAGGTACCATTACCATCTCTCTTTTATTGATGAAGAAACAGAAATTCAGAGAGGTCTCAAAGCTGGGATGTGGCATCGCCAAAACAGGAATCTTTTTGATGCCTAAACTGTGGCCCAACCACAACTCCATTCTGCTTCTCATTCATTCATTCATTCATTCATCCATTCATCCATTCATCCATTCTCCATTCATTATTTAACAAACATTGGTTGGTTGCCTGCTCTTTGTTTTTATGTTCTAAAGATAGAGCTGTGACTATAAACAGATCAAGTCCATGCTCTGAAGGAACTTACATTCTTGCTGGGATTATAGCAGGAGTAGATGTACTATTAAATGAAAAGATATTAAATGTTAATTCATCAGAAGACAGATTAACAAGATTATCAGTAAGTCTTGTCCACACTAGAACTTCAGGGACAATCCTCAATTGGTGAATTTACCAAAGCTCTTTCTTGTTTACTGACATTACTTCAAATTTAGTCTTAAGTCTTGATAAATGGTCAGAGATTAGGAAGAAAGGTTTAAGCATTCTGGCAAATGATGCAGATCATGTATGGTAACATGTACATACATGTGTGATACGTGTATGAAGCCCCTGAAGGGAAAGTAACCCAATAACCCAATAAAGCATTCAAGAGTCATTGTTCATGGGCAGGTCGAATCCTACCACCATTAAAACGGGGGACCAGAGGCAACAGATGGAAGGGAGTGGAAAGAGCTAGTTCAGTTAATACAGAAATAGGCAGAAGACATGAATAGATATTTTTCCAAAGAAGATATACAGATGACCAACAGACCCAACAGACCCATGAAAAGATGCTCATCATGACTCACCATCACGGAAATGCAAATCAAAACTACAATGAGATATCACCTTATATCTATCAGAATGGCTGATAGAATCAGAACAACACAAGAAATAGCAGGTGTCGGCGAGGATGTAGAAGAAAAAGGAACCTTCTTGGACTGTTGGTGGGAATGCAAACTGGTGCAGCCACTCTGGAGAGCAGTATAGAGATTCCGCATAAAGTTAAAAATAGAACTACCTTACAATCCAGCAATCAATTGGATTTCTAGGTATTTACCTAAAGAATACAAAAATACTAATTTGAGAGGATACATGCACCTCTATGTTTACAGCAGCATTATCAACAATAGCCAAATTATGGAAAGAGCCCAACTGTTGAC